CACACACACACACACACACACACACACACACACACACACACACACACTGACCAGGGTCTGAGAAGACGGCCTTGGCGTGGCAGGCGAGCAGCAGCAGCAGAATCAGGTTGAACACAGATCCGTGTAGAGAACACCACACGCTGTCAGAGGGTCAGAGACGCACAACTTCATGCACAGATCAGCTCGTTTAGAACCAATAATAAGCATCATTTGTCGTTTAATTGATCAAAATATTATTATTAATTTAACCACTTTTATTTCATTATCTTATAATATGTATATTTATTATTATTAATTATTATAATGTAAATTGTTAATATTTAAAGTAACTAGTAAAAAGCACAAAATAATATCTGAAATGTAGTAAAAGTATAAAGTAGCATTAAGTGTAAATACTCAAAGTAAAAATACCTCGAATATGTACTTAAGTACTTAGTTAAAACACAGCCACTGTTAATTAGTAAAAATGAATACAGTAAAATATAAATGACACATAAATATATTGTAATGTATCAGAGATAAACAACAGAAACCTCCTTCGTTACAGCTGATAGTAAACCAAAGAAAAACACGTGTATTCTGGTGTCACCTCAATATAAAACCGGTACAAATAACCACCTGAATACATATAAACACGTGTTAGTGTCATCAAAAACAATACAAGTTTGGTTTAGATTCAGCAGAGAAAGACAGCGCGTGAGAGCAGGAAGCTGTCAGTTCCGGTTAAATGAATGGAGACAGCGCAGAGAAGCAGCCGCCATGTCGGTGTTTTGACGGTTTAAACGACACAAAGACACAAATCACTGACCTGTCCGAGTATGCGGGGATGAGGACATACTGTATGACCACGTAGTCCGCGTAGAACACGCTGAAATAAGTTAAAATCAGACAGATAACGCCGCAGAGGTCTCGCCTGCAGCGGACGAGCGCCATCTTCTTCCGGGTTCCGCCCCCCTCCTCCCGCTTCCGGGTCACGTCACGCTGAAACCTGACGCTGCTTTCCTGAACCATAAGAAAATCGAATGTTGTTCTTAAAGGGCCAGTTCACTCAATTAAAAAACGGATATATTAATTAAGTATATAATATAAAGCTGCCTTCCAGGACCGTAGGAAATAAAAATGTATTCTTACTTTTTTTTCTCATTCGCATTAGTTAAATTATTCGATGAGAATTTTTTTCTTTCAAAACATTGAGTCCAAATCTCTGAACATTTATTTTGTTCACAACTGATTTTAATTCCTCATTCGTTCCAGTAAATTGCACATGTTTTTGGCACATGTGTGCAAAAGAGGAAGTAGAACTGCAAACAATTTGTGCAATAACTACTCACACCGATGTCTCAGTGACATTGTCTTACACTTCACAACTACTAAAGATTCTTTCATTGTTTAAGCTATCACATGCAAAATTATCTATTCAATTATTAAAATCCACTAAATATAATACTAATATACTAATGTATATACATATATATATATATATATTTTGTTTCTCCTCCTTATTAATATTGTTTTTTGTGTACATGTATATATATGTGTGTATGCGTGTATGTACATATGCATGTATGTATGTATGTATGCATGTATGCATGTGTGTGTACTGTACATACATGTATGTGTAGGTGTTTATATATTTATTCACTACTTGCTAAAGTATTGTTACTATTTATTGCTATTATTTTTATCTTGTACCTTGGTTTTTGAGGTCTTTTGTCAGACTGTTCTATTTTGTTAAAAAATAATAGTTAACATCTATATATACATATATTAATACAAATATATATTAATATATATATATAATATTATATATAATATATTATATATATATATATATATATATATATATATATACATTATTTTTTCTACTTCAAGTGCTGCCAGTATATCAACACAAGGTGTCAGTAGACTTCCTCGTGTATAAAAACTGTCATTTACTACTCTGTGGCTCCTCCCCTGAAGTAGGCAGTAACCCCTCGTCATCCTCCTCGTTTTGCTCAACAGTTCTTTTTATGTGTTGCTGCTGCAGAGACTCTCAACAGGTCGTGTTTTGTAGTTTGCTCATTTCTCTCTTTTTTCTACTGCAAAAACACACCGCCCTGTTTTTTTCCTTCTTATCGGATACATCTCTTCCACTTTCTTCGTCGAAGTTAAACCTAATTTCTTTTTGGAGTTTATTTTTTCTCTCGAGGAGGAGGAGGTAGAAAGAAAGCAGGAATCAAGAGTAGAAGAAGGAGAAGAAGGGGAAGAAGAAGAAGAAGAAGAAAACACACACCTGGAGGAGTAAACCATGGAAGTTCCTGGTATGCAGGTGAGCAGAAAGGTGCACTCGGTGGTGGATTAGTTCGTAAAGGTTGTTGGGTCTGTTTCTGTCGTCGTTGGGAGCGAACTGAACCAGTTTATCATGAAGTGGGTGGAGGGAGGGGGGGTGTAATTGTGCAACTACAGGCCGTTTCCGATACATTTAGATACATTTGTATCGTGTTTTTGTGTGACGTTTGAACTGAACTCAAAGGAGGTTTGTGAGCTCGAGCGAACTGTTCTCTGTCTCCAGTCTGAAGAAAAGTCACCGTGGTGTTGTTTAAGAAGCTCCTTATGTAACATGTGGCGCTCCACACACAGTTTATGGTGTACCAACACTCCTAAAGTAACTTCAAGAAAAACTAGAAAAGCTCTATACAAGTACAGTCCTTTTTGTTTTTACAGTCCATAATGTGACTTTTGTGCTCCATGTTGAGTTCACACTGACTTTCTGGTGTTTACATCTCTTAAAATATTCCTTTATTTGCTCATTGTGTGTCTGTGGAACCCCATACTGACATCGTAGTGACTTTTTTTGGCACTTTTGGGTCGTTGTCTTATTATGAAATGGCTCTTGAGTGTGATGTTATCCCTGTAATATTCCCACAGTGACTCATTGTGTCTGAGAGCTTATTTTAGGCGTATTTATGGCTCGGTATCTTTATCTGTTTTTCTATGAGTTATAATTAGACTGCCCTCAGACGATACTGTGTGATACTCAATTATTGACCTATAGTGATACTCATAATGGACTAATATCTTTTATTAGATTATTGGTTTGACATTGGATTGGTATGATGAGACTTAACGTTTATTCTAGGGTCACCTTGTTGCGTATTGAAGGTGAATCTGTAGTTTCCGTCTCCTCAACAATGTGCAGGGTGAGTTATAAGCCTCCATTCGGCCTCCTGTTTGGCTGGCTTTCAGGTGTGTCTACCTGTGGGACTGGCTGTCGGTGCACTCGCTCTGCCGGCTCTGTTCGCCCCAGGTGGGCGTGGCGGCAATGGTGTCGAAGGCTTGTTAAATACATACACACACACCTGACACCACGGCAGCAGCTGCTGCAGCGCTGAGGCTGACAGGAATATATACATAAGTCTGTTGTACCTGCCAGGAAGACCGATTGTGCCTTGTGGGAAGTGTTGTGCAATGCTGACTAATGGTGACGGTTTAATATTTATTTTTTAGTTGGGGCCGAGCACCGACGAAGTCTCCAAATAAGTTTTTAGTGACATTGTGGTATACATGTCTCTGTACTACTCCTGAAGCACTTCAAACCTGACTTTAGTACTACAAACTGGCTTTATAGTAACATTATGGTGTAAATATCTCTAAAGCTGTCCCCGTAATACTCCTAAAGTTACTCTCTAAGTACATAAGCAAGTGCTGTAATGTTTCCTGACTGGAAACAATACAAACTGTCTTCACAGTCGGTGATTGAATCATCATTGGTACGCGTCTACCAAGTGATATTGGTGACGAGGGGTGCCTGCGAAGAGCCCATTGGATATTTAAAGACACTATTCACCCAGCCACGGCCTGTTTAAACCCTGCTGCCATCTGGAAAGAGATACAGAAGTATCAGCTGCTGTACCACCAGACTACAGAGTAGCTTCTTTCCTCAGGCTAACTTAGTTTTCTTGTGTTTTTCTGATGTACCAAAATGTGACCACAAACTGTATTTCATTGCAAAACCCTGTTGTACAAGTAACCTTGTAAATTTGGAAACTTAACCACTTCCTCTGGTAACTTAAAGCTGCTATAATCTCAAAAGACGCCTCAGTTTTTTCTTATCACTGGATGACACTGCTGTTGTGAAACCCCAACACTTCACTTGTTCAAGAAACCCTCACCGATAACAGATATTACAGATGCTGGTCTTCACATCCTTTTTATGTTTTTCTGATGTAATTTCAAAACTATGCCCTCATCACGACTCAGTTATTTACAATGCTTTTACAGTCTGTTAAGAATAATACATTTATTGTTCAACACTGTAACATTTTGCTGCCTAGAGCTTATGATCTTTCAGGGTTTCCCACAGTGTAATTTAAGCGGAGGCGGACCGCCAAGCCTGAAATACAGACCACCTCTGCCAGTGCCACCAGAAATTATAAACTTTTATGAACATTTTTATGAACATCTACCCTTTAGAGAAAATTTAGCAGAAGTGCTACATTAGACGGAGAAGGCCAACTATTGAAAGAGTGTTGCCGTTAGTTTTCTATTAGAAAGATCCTGTATTTTATGACCAAATTTGAGAGATTCGTGTTTCAAAGACTGCAGAAACTCAAATGTCTATATTGGCTCATAAAAATCAATTGCGCATCAGGTTCCATCGTTGTTTTTTGCTGCGAAGCATTTGCTGATCAAAGCGTTTTCAAATATGAGGATTTGCTGTTTTTTTTAGGAGCAGTACAACATAAAACACAGTCCTCCTCAGTCTCCTATCGATTTCAATCTGTTGTTCACAGTGGGACATTATCAGAGACCGACGACTAGAAAAACATAAATGACGATCTCTTGTTTTTGATAAATTAACAGGAGAAGCTGGTAACGTTAGCAGCATTGCTAACGGCTAACAAACGAAGGTTCCGTTCAGTTAAATTATGATGCTTTTAAATTCCTTCTGTTTCTAAGTAAAATATAATCTATTATATCTATCTATGAGCTTATCTGATGGACTGAGGTGACACTAGGAAAGTACTCGATGACTCTGTCGTCTACAGCTGATCTGGCGCCGTTTAATGAGACTTTCATTGCTTAATTGGTTCACGATGTCCTGGCCGCTTATGGGAAACCCTCAGAAATGACTCCACATCATCAGGCACATGTGAACATGTTTTCATTGGTGCTTATCTAATTCTTTTATTGTCCCGTGATGGTCTGAATGCTATTTTTAGTCGGCTATTTCCTCTCTGACAGAGAAAAGATAATGAGTCAATTAAGAAGGTTAGGAATGTCCTGATCAAGTCTTTTGACCCTGGTTCCAAAATAAGTCTTAATATTGTATATCTGCAGATAACCAATATTTTATTCTGTTGGAGTTGCACAACCTGCAGAAACTGTCTCTAAGTAATAACCTTAAATCAGGGTTTTTGTAAACTCTCGTGTGAATTATTTTTTTTTCTTTACACAAATGAAAATAATCACATTTTCTGATCAGAACCCACTGGTTTGTTGACTGCGATTTTGAAGCCTTGAGTTTGGCATTTTGGCCGTCGCCATCTTGGTTTTTTTTAAACCAGAAGTGACACAAGAGGGTGGAGCTATGGACAACCAAACTCTTGAGTATTTAAATTGTCAGACGACCAAAATGTTACAATTTTCATGAAGGGAAAACGGTGTGAAAGGCTTAGAGTTGTTAAACGAAAACACGGACTACTCCCAAAAGGGACTACGTCTCTGGTAGCAACCTGTCAATCACCGTGTAGCCCCGCCCTGAAGCATCCCCTGCTTTATGGTCCATCTGACTCTAAACTGACTCTAAAGGCGACTGTGGAAAAGTGGATAGCAGGGCCGTCCTTCAATCAGAGGATCGGCGGTTCGATCCCCGGCTCAGGCTCCACTAGTCGCATGTCGATGTGTCCTTGAGCAAGACACTTAACCCCAAAATTGGTCCCGTAGCTGTGCCTACGGTGTAGAATGCGATAGAAGCTTTGGATAAAAGCGTCTGCTAAATGACTAATGTAATGTAATGTAATGTAAACGCCCTGTTTCCCTGATGAACTGTGACTCCTGCAGGGCATACTTTTTTAGTTTCAGCTGAAGCTTTCCCGACATCTGGTGTGAAAAGTTCCCGTAGTAAATCAGTCTGCCACTCTGACGTGAACAGGTGCAGCGCTGGCAGGTTGTTTTCCAGACATTGCATGGAAGCCGTCTGCAGGTGTGTCGACAGAGACGGGGAGTGTCCTTTTCTTCTTCTTCTCTTTCATGACACAATCACCGGCTCCACCAGACTGACACTTAAAAGAGACTTCTGTTGTGTTCCTGGGTGAGAAATAATCAGCTGCTTCTTTTGTTTTGGCTTCGGGTAGTGAGTCAGTCTTTCTGTAGTCTGAATCATAGTTCTTTTTTTATATATTCTGGTTTGTTTACATTTTCCTACACCAGAGGCTCCTTCTTATTGGACAGACTTTCAACAACATGTCACATCACACATCTGCCGAGTCCGATTGAGTCAAAGTCGCCAGTTTCACTCACGATCACGGTCGTCATCATGTTCGATTTCAAATAAAAGCATCCGCTAATTAACTAATTAAATGATTTAAGACACTGATTTATTTTTGGTTCAAATTTCAGCTGAAACGATTAGCTGATTCGTCTCCAAAGAAAGTAAATCGGCAAACATTTTGATAATGAATTGCCCTTTTTCAAGCACAACTACCAAACACACATCCTAGTTCCAGCTTCTTTATTGTGCTATTGCTGCATTTCTTCCACTTACGGGATAATAAATTAATAATTTGGTGCTTTTGTTCTGTAGCCGATTAAGTTTTTTTTAAAATTCCGACTCGGCTATTTCAGATTTTTGCCAATTTCTTTATTTCTAGAAACTATAATTTACAGCATACACAGAGGTTTTTGTAACTTTTCTTTCATAGAAAACTGAAATTCAATTATATGTTGATAATAACAAATTGCTGCAGTTTTAGAGAAAATGGATTTGTCAAAGTTACAGAACCTTCTTGTTGTCTAAACCTTGTTTTTAAGCTTGTTCCTCCACGCCTTTTTCTTTTTTACGACTATATTGACGGCGTATGTGCGATACTTTACCGTCTGTGCCGCTGTGTGCCGACATCAAACTACCATGCGGCATGTGTTTACATATGACGGGCTAAAACATTTTAGAGACTGATCAGCTGACAGCAAGCCAGTTTCGTCTGGTGGCCGATTGATAGGTGCATTTTGTGTTTTGTCAGGAAATTGCAATGGCCATTGTTTACTGTTTGTTTACTAGAGTTTTCTCTCTGTGGTCCTGATTTGCTCTGCAGTATAAAGTCCTGCACCTCTATGGAAACAGAACAATCATGGCTGGAAGTAGAGAGAAGTCAAACATGTCTTTAGTGCAGAATGACTATTATTATTACTAGTTATTATGACATAAATCTTGAAAAAGAAAAAAACGCAAGTGGAATTTCTTTAATAATTATGAAAAAAATTGTTTTTGTAACTCATCAATTAAAACAAACAAAAGGGCATTGATGTGTCTTTAAGAGCTCTCCTGTTGAATAACTCAACAGATCATGTCATGTTTGTCGACTTGAAATGAAACAGGAAATGTTTGAAGAGCGGTGAGATGTTCACATGATGCGACTTTGCAAAGGTCATTTTTGAGAATGCTATGTTTGTACTTCCTCCTCTAGCAGCTGTGACCTTTGAACCCCTTTTTGGTTGGATATTTGGACACCACTTGTTAGTAAAAACATGGATCTCTCGCTCTCTCTCACACTCTCTTAATCGCACACAGAGTTTCCACAGTCGCGTCCAAGTTTTCCTGAATGCAGCTGAATGTTTGCATGTTCCCTTCACTTCCCTTCACCTTCCCACTCTGCTTCTTTCTGTCTTTGTAGCTTCGACCTGAAGCTGACTTCTCTCACCGCTGTTTCCCTTACCACCATTTAAACTCTGTCAATATTTAAATCTTCTGTCTGCATTTAAATTCAGGCTAACGTGATGTAAAATGTGCTGTAATGTGTCCCTGAGACTTTATAAGCCGAAGCAAAAGTTAAAGTTGTTTCCCCCAGAGAATGAGCAGTGGCTTGAAATTGTTTGGGAAATTAGCCAAATGGGAAAAAAAACTAACGTACCTTGTGAAAGACAGAAATCAGGACAATTTGACCTTTTACATGAATCGACATTCTGAACAAATAATCTGACTGTGTGGAATGAATGAATCCTTGTTGCAGGTTTCAAATGTGAAATTTCAATAAAAGTACAAATAAGTGTGGACTTGGCGGCCGCTTGGAGCTACATGCTGATATTCATCAAGCCAAAAGATATTTATTTGGCTCCTTTTAATATGATGATTTGCTTATTTTCTCTATTGCAGAGTGAATAAGTACAATTTAAGAACTGTATGCTTCACTCACACACTCTTGTCACGGCGTAGAAAAGCCATCAACACACGAGTGACAACTTTGTTCGGCTCATTTTCTGGAATCAGTGTAGCATTACAGCATGGTGGAATTATCAAGCTAGCTAACTATTTGACGGCTACCTAGTTAGCTAGCTTGATAATTCCACCATGCTTTAATGCAAGCTAGTTAGCTAACTACTGGACAGTTGGCTAGTTAGCTAGCTTTCTGATGCCGCCATGCTTTAATGCTACATTAGTTACAGATAAAATGAGCCGAACAGCAGCCCTGGTTAGCTATCTAGCCTGCCACCTGTCTCTGTTGTGGTTCTTACCCTAACAACAATCACCATATTCTTTTTTACAAGACAAGTTTAATTATAAAGAACATTTCAGCAAAAGGAAATTAAAAGCACTTTACATAAAACCTCTAAAGACAGAGTGGAAAAAGAAACTCATTCATGTAACATTTTTGCTGTGTTTTGTGTCCAGTGATCCTGCTGGCTGGTTGGTTATCTAACAGCTTGTTCAGGTTAATGGATGCACAGTGAAGACGCAACACGCTTCCTGCTTCTCCTCGTAGATATTTAAACACTTTCTGGGAGATTTACGGCGTAAGGATTTATCGAGAGTGAGCAACGTGATCCAACAGCTTTTTTTTTTAATTTTTTTTTTTTTACATCTGATAAGTTGGTTTGTTTGCATTTGTGTTATTCTCATTGAACTACACTATTGTAACTGATGCGCTAAAAAATTTAAATTCCCAGACTGCGTGTCAAACAGTTGTTTTACTGATTATAAAACCGTCAGTGAATCGTTGACTAGAAGCGTGTTTTTTTTTGTGTCGTTTTTACAGTTTCTGCTCCTCGACTGGACACACAGAATTTATCTACTAAACAGAAGTGTTCTGTAATGATTGAGCGAGTGTTGAATGTTTAACTTCCGTCTCTGTTGTTGTTACAGAAAGGTCAAAGAGTAACCTCTCAGCTTTATATAATCCCTCATGAATCTGTTATTTCATCTTTGAGGCTTTTAGTATTTATACTCCTTATACTTTCACAAGTCAAATGTTCCTGATATTGGAGGTATTTTTTGTTGAGAAACGCCTCAATTAATTTCGTGTCTTGCTGATTTGATTGCATTAAATAAATATAAATATTGCATAAATATGAAAGCACTTCTCAGGATGTATTTTGGGAACATAAATTGGAATAAGAAATATAATGCAACCATGTAGAATTTTCACTGAAAGAAACTTTATCGACATTCCCATTAGCCTCAGCTGTACTTTGTGTTTAGTGCTAGTTAGCACGCTAACCAGCTATACTAATGTAGTGAACATGGTAAACACAAAGACTGTACAGGAAGTGGACGTTGTCACCATTACGTCACCCATTGGTTGGTGGACCACGGTTTTGGAGCCTCGAGTTTGGTGACAATAAACGATTGTTTGATTTCGGTGTTTCTTTTCTATGATCTGAAGGTTCACAATATATATAAGAAATATATTAACAACAAATAATGTGTTTTCTTTGTTTAATAATCGCCTTTGTGATGAGGGAGTTCATAGACCGCTGGGGAAGCCCCATCGTTGCTGATCAAATTATGACGACATAAGTAATCGTCCATTTAGATATCAATTAACTTTCTTATTGCCTCGAGGTGAATCATAGCAGCGTGCGGTTACCTTTTCCCAGGATGACAAACGCAAAGGAGAAATTAAAGGATGTTTTTGGTTAATTTTCTTCTGACGTTATATTACGAAAACAAAGCCATGCCACGAATTAATGGTACGAAGACCTTGTTCCTATTATGTTAAAACCCTCCTCTGTCGACTAACGATGAACTACTAATGCTTCTGACCGTTCAACCAATCAGTTACAGATTCATTCAAACTTTATTTTAACCCTTGAGTGTTGTGACGGTTTATGGCTTTTTAAGTTATGTTCAAACTGTTGCATCTCAGCTTAATCTTTGTGAAACTAGAACATTTAAACACATTTAAAGGTAATTGTCTTCAGTTCCATGTCATGATTAAAGTTGCTGCTGTTATGCTTTTTATCTCATCGTATTGTGAGTTTATTTTATTCTGCTCTCACTGTCTCGCGTCTTTGCTTCTCCGTTTCTCTGCAATGAGCTAAAAGTATCAGCAGACAGTAACCACTGTTTGCTGACTGGGTGTGGCAACGTTGTGGTCACCGTGTGCGTGCGTGTGTGTTTCTTTTTTTAGTTCAGAGGGAGAGGAAACTCAACCAGCATCGTAGGAATATCATACACGTCTGTGGGTGTGTTTATTAAGTGTTCATCCAAGCAATTCTTGAGGTGTGTGTGTGGGTGTGGGACAGATATTGCAGTTTTAAGATGTAACATGCAGCCACACACTCCAAATAACCAGTGGACAGCAATTGTTTAATTAAAACATGCTTTTAACCCCCCCCCCCCGGTGAGTTTTGGGGATCAGAGGGTTAAACGTTTGAACCGTCAAACAATCACGACTGTGAAAGTTTCATTTAGCAAGTTTTCACTTTCCTTTGCTAGTAAAAACAAAACGTTTCAGTCGCGCACACAGAAACCAAACTCATTCATGCTCTCCAGATCATTTCAGTGATCTTGTGACATTTCCTCAGACGCCAGAACAAATCAGAAAGCATCACATTAAAATCCTCTCAGCAGTTCCTCTTTAGAAGTGTCTTCAGAGTGTTTTTCTTTGAAGCTGTAGACGTGACGAGCTGAAATGTGACGGAAGATGTTTTTAATTTAAAAGGCAGGAAACGTGAGATTCACATTGACGACGTTTATTCCTGTAAACTCACACGGCCTTTAAGAGTTTTACAAGCAACAAAGTTTAGGAAACGAATGTAAGTCAGTGGAAAGCCTTCAGAGATAAGTTGTGTGTGTGTGTGTTTAGTTCCTGTTATCTTTAACTGTCATGCCTGCTTCCTTCTGTGTTTTTATGAGGTTTTGTGTGTGTGAGGCTCTGTGGTGACAGTCTGTGTGAGTCTGTGTGAGTCTGTGTGAGTCTGTGAGGCTCTGTGGTGTGTGTGTGTGTGTGTGTGTGTGTGTGTGTGTGTGAGTCTGTGAGGCTCTGTGGTGTGTGTGTGTGTGTGTGTGTGTGTGTGTGTGTGTGTGTGTGGGTGTGGAAATCGGAGTCAAAGTTACTGAGAAAGTGATCAAAACGCAGCTTTAATTATATTTTTGTGGACTTTACATGTACAAGTACTTCAGATTTCTTTCTGTCATTAAATATTATTTTCATTAATATTCTACATAATGTATTCTATATGTGTATATTCTATAAACTTTACGTACATTTTTTAATTATTGTGTAAATATAAAAATGATGATTCAATTCCCGTCTGTCTCTCCTGTCCTTGTTTCCTCTCTTCTTTTCTCCTTGTCCCCTCTCATCTCTCCTCATTCACTCTCTTCTTCTCCTCTCCTTGTTTCCTTTCCTCTTCTTCTTTCTTCATCCCCTCTTCTCTCCTCGTCTCCTCTCCTCTTCCTCCTCTCAGAATTCTCAGATCGATCCGGAGGAGTTGTTCACTAAATTGGATCGCATTGGAAAAGGATCTTTTGGAGAGGTGTGTGTTATAGTTCACATTTCATTTTACAAGGTTATCTGATTAATTGTTAAAGTTTTTACTATATATATTTTTCTGCTTCTCTTTTTGACCATCTTTAATTTCTTACTATTTTCTTTCCTTTCCCGATTTCATTCTTCTACTCTTCCTCCTCTGCCTCCTCCTCCCCCTCCCCCTCCTCCTCCTCCTCCTGCAGGTATTCAAAGGAATCGATAACCGTACTCAGAGCGTAGTTGCCATAAAGACGATAGATCTGGAGGAGGCTGAGGACGAGATCGAGGACATCCAGCAGGAGATCACCGTTCTGAGTCAGTGCGACAGTCCGTACATCACCAAGTACTTCGGCTCCTATCTGAAGGTAAATACTAATACACTAATATCTGTAAAAGTAGTATTACCACACTGTAGAAATACTCTGCTACGAGTAAAAGTATTAGAGTCCAAATATACTTAAAGCGCCAAAAGTCATGCAGAATAATATACATTTTATTACTGGATTATAGTTATTGATTCATTAATGTGTTCATCACTTTAATGTTGCAGATTTTAATTACTTTGGGGATCAATAAAGTCTCACTGATGTATAATAATTGTATGTATAAAATACAAACATCTCACGTTGTCGTAGTATTAAGTGGCAAGTAAAGTAGAAGTAACTCAAAATTGTACTTAAGTGCAGTATTTGAGTAAATGTACTTTGTTACTTTCCACCGATGGAGTGTGTCAAGTGTCTCCAGCATCCTCTCATTGCTCATTAAATCAAAGTTAATCTGAAGGATATATAGGTTTGAAATGTACACACAGCAACATGTGATGAATTAATAATCTCTGAGTTAATTTTGCGTTGTCTCTTGTTTCAGGGCAGTAAACTATGGATTATTATGGAGTATCTGGGTGGAGGTTCAGCGCTCGACTTGGTGAGTTTTAACATTTATTGATCTAATTCAGTCCAATAAAACGTCATGAAGTGAATAAGTTTCAGCATTTCCTCAGAGAAGTGCTCCTCACATTAAAGGTTGTTGTTTTTTAAAACATGAAACTTTGAGTCATTTTGGATGGATATCTATAAGTTGGAAATAGATATGAATTAAATGCAAAGAATGGTTTCTAGTCACCTCATTCTTTCCCTGAACATCATTTACTTGCCAAAAAAACTGCAGCTCTAAAGCTGTCAAGAAGTTTAAATCATTTAAAAGTAAAGTAACTATTAAAGATTCACAATATGTGATCAGTTTATCTAAATAACAGCCATTTTGGAAGTTGACGGTGACATTTTTGGTGTGTTTTACTGTCAAAAGAGTCGACACAGATCCCCTCTGCATGATTAACAATGTGTTATTACAGGATAATAATAAAGTAAATCAAGAAAACACCAAAATAGTGACGCTAGCTCAAAACTGGACTGACAATTAGGCAACAAGCTTGCCAGCTTGTTGCCTAATTGTCAGTCTTGTCTTGAAATAAACTGAACAAGGTGTGTCTGAGTTCCTACGTGCAACCTCCGGCATGTCAAGTGAGTGTTTTATAGCCGTGTGTGTGTGTGTGTGTGTGTGTGTGTGTGTGTGTGTGTGTGTGTG